AGCCGGGTCGATGGCATCAAAAGCTTATCTATAGCGGAAAGGAAAGATGTGAAATCATGCCACCAAGGCGGTTAAACACAGATTCAAAAGAAGTATGAGATGGAGAACGAACCAGAACTGGAGCTCATTGAACACAACCCTGTCTTTCAAGCTATCGTGTCCGTCGCTGTTTATGAAAAAGCGTTCAAATGGCATGCCTATCGACCACCAAGCGCGAACTACCGATAAAATCCTCATGTGCGATCATATATTCGATTTCTTTCTTAAGTGGTGGACGCAAACAAGCGCAAGGCTAAGGCCAGTGGTTGAAAGGTCGAGGATAAAGAGCACCTATCCAATCGAAACAATATGCTTCTATACGCAATTGCTCGTGTCAAAGTTCCACCTTCCTCCAGGATAAGTAAACCTTGCCTTAGGTCAATCCCTTTTTGAAGGACCTTCACCAACATTGGCTTCATTCTTACCTATGATATCCCCCAAGAGCTGATTCGATAGCGGGTGTAACAGAATCTTAGCTGCAAAGGCTACTGAGGAATTCATTACTTAATAACTCTCGCAGAAATCTCCCTAATGTAGACCTCTTCCTTTTAGGCTACTTCTTCAAATTCCTTCTTTTCTATTCTCGCCATAGCATCCACGTCGTGATGCCAAACCACAATCTCCACGAAATATCATCCTGCAAAAAAGAAGACCCCAAATTAGTACTAAACCAATTATTATAATCCTTAAAAATCCCATAATTTTTTTGGGTTGTTGAAGCGATCTTAGCCCAAAAGATTTTACCATCTGCTACTAAGATGAGTTTAGCTACCGGGGTTGCTTGAGCATATTTATATTACCAGGTTCATTACTAGCATGGGGCACTCCCAAAGGAAATTCCTTTAAAAAGCGAAGCTCAGCACGAACTCCTTTAAAGCTTAACGCCCTCTCTCTAATGACTCTTCTTAGGGAGTAGGATCTCTTGCCTAGGAGCTCGAGAGAAATATAGCGAAGTAATATTTTCTTTTTCAAGCAAAGAGGAGTGGGAAAAGCCCCCGCTTCTCTCACCTGCACCGCTTAGTGATAAAAGAGCTGCTAGTCTTGCTAACTAAAAAGTTCCTTCCCTTAGTTCCTCTCACAGTGACCAATAAACAACCCTATTCTATTCCGTTAAAGGATAGGAAGAAGCCGAAGCTCTAGTAGCAGCTGTTATAGATTCTCAACTAACCGGCTGACCAACTTGTCCTTCCTCTCGATACATGACTTACATACCCGGCTCAACATTCTTGGAAAACAATCGAATCGAGGGGCGGAGAATTTGCCATTCAATCTTGTGAACTAATCGAGACCAAAATTGGAAAAAGAGATACGAATGGAGAGGAATAACCAATCGATAAAAGAACATGAAACCATTCTGTTTCAATAGAAGTACGAGAAAGGGTTGGGGGCAATGAAGTAGGTGAAGTGGTTGGATTTTGCGAGCTGTTCCAACCACTGCTGGATGTGATTCCAAGAGCCGAAGAAGAATGAATACCACACGAAGAGTCAAGACCAGGCTCCCTAATAGAATGTTTAACCGATCCATTCCGGATCGACCGAATTGGTACGAAGTTGTAACATGGGAAAACCACGAAAACACAACTTATTTGAATAACCCAAGTGACCTACCAATTGTAGAAGTAGGATTTTGGCAAGCAATAAGCACTTAAATAATACAGTTCAAGTGTACCATCTTCTTTCTCATTTCGAGGAAAAGGTGCGAAGGAAAAGGAAACAACGGAGAGATCCGAATCGGACCTAAATGGGAATGACATAAAAAGTCTCTTTCAAAACCTAGCATTAAGGGCGTTACGACGATATACGAGAGGAATAGAGAAAACTCGTGATTGGTGTAGAAGGAAAGATCTGTTTATGATATAGTGAAAGAAAGAGTCGTCTCATTTCCTTACTTCTTCGTTCTTTCTCATGTGCGTTTTTTCGCCGCCTTTATAGCTGCAGGGCTGCGCACTTCAGCCCATCACATCAAGGTGACAGGATTCGAACCTATGGCCCTCTGTACCCAAAACAGATGCGCTGACCAGACTGCGCTACACCTCGGTCTCTCACCACCCCGGAGCATATAGATCCGCCCGATCGATGAACACTCAAACCGAATTCGCCCATCCTTTTGGCACAGGGATGCGAGAACCAATCCGAGTAATCAACCGCTTTTTTAATCGCCTCCAGCAAGATAGGGCGGCGCCAAAAAGCCGTATAGTGTAGGAGCGCTCCAATTTTTGGTTTCGTTTTCACTTGAATTTCAAAATCCGGCTCGCTCCCGGCTACGTGTCCTTTTTCCCTTCGCCCGCTTAGAAGTGGATTCGAACCACTGACACAAGGATTTTCAGTCCTTTGCTCTAACCAGTGAGCTACTGAACCACTTTCCTAAAGTCTGTTTTCTTCATCGAATAGCGCCCTACCTTACCACTTGACTAGTAAGAAAAAAAGAAAAAATAGAATATATATAGGCTTTTCCTTGTTCGTCAAGCTTTCGAGCAGCTCTTTCAACTGCCGCCTAATCCCCCAACATGCTCAAGAACCGAGAGCCACCCAGGGACTGGACTCCGCCAAGAGGTTCTTTCTCTCACGTAATTTCGCCCGCCCCTTTAATTTCCTTTTGCCGAAGTTCGTTCAGTCGGTAAGCATCCCGTTAGCTCTTCATATTTCCTAGCCCATCTATCCCCACTATCTCCGAATTATGTAAGCCGTAAGGAGTCCGTAAAATGTGAAAAAAGTCCTCACGCGACCTTCGCTTATCTTGTTTTTAAGGGCAGTTCTTCTATGATGTCGACGAAGGTCTCATGTTCACCACGATTATTATTCTTGCAAAAGGAAGAATATAGTTTATTAATCCAATATGAATTCAATATAAATAATAAATAAATAACTAGTAGCATTGATAGAAAAATATAGAAAAAAGGGGTCTCGTGCGCCAATATCCGCCATAAAGGGGCCAAGCCATAACAAATGGGAAGCTATCCGACTCAACTCCAACATAATGACTCGGATATAGCTAGCTCTTTTAGGTACTTGAATATTGCCTAATTGTTCAGGCCCATTTACGGTTATTGCTTCTGTAAATAACCTAATATTGGTTCACAGTCAATAACATCTTCACTATCTAGAATAACGATGAGTCGAAGAACACCATGCATTGATGGGTGGTGAGGTCCCAGATTTACTCTAATTAGATCTTTTTTTAGCTGGTACATGAATAAGGTTTTTACCGGTTAAAAGAAAAATTTGGAATTTAAACTTTAAAAAAGTACTAAAAAGAAAAATGCCGCGTCTTAGATGAGCTAGAGGTCGAAACCGATTGCTTCGTCTTCTAGTGAAGAAAATTCCATAGTAAAGCTACGAAACTACGCTATGAAAAGTGGCTATCGAGAAAGAAAAATCATATGTTAAAAGATGATTCTCTAACGACGATTTTTGGCATATCGCTACTTCTTCTTCCTCAACACATTCATAGGAAGAGAGAGATCTGTTCGCTACTACGCATCCTTACTTACTCATAGTAGAGTGTAAGGTAGGTTTGGGTATAGCAGACTTGAACCTGCGACCATTAGGTTAAAAGCCCAATGCTCTACCAACTGAGCTATACACCCCCAAAAATGAAATAAAGATTGGTGCGGAAAAGAGGGCGGCCCCCTTCTTCTCATCATATTAAAGGAGCGCGGCTCTGTATGTATAAGGCTCGTACTGCAAAGGAAGCGAAGAAAACGTAAGGGAGCGAGTGGAGTAGTAGAAAGGAGTGGAAGCGAGTTAGCACTCCTGCAAAAATTCCTAGCTAAGGCGCCCTTATTTATTCAAAACTAAAGGAAAGTTTTAATATCGAAAGATGCGCTCAACCACCCAACCGGGGCTCGGGCTCGAAAGCCGGCCTTACTCAACAAGCACCTTTCTTAGTAAGGTTGCTTGTTTCCACTCATTGAAGATTCTATCTACAAAAACAAAAGAAGGTCAACGGGGGATACTAAAACGGAACGAACGAAGCTATTAGAAGTGAAGCTATTGGAATGAGTGACACCATTTACGAGAAGGTGAGGTCATCTTTCTTTCCAGCCGCCATACGGTTCGGCTTAAAGCCTTAAAGACGGAGAAGGGGGGAAGCAGTTATCTATGTAATTGCGGTTTTTGTTGACCGTTGTTCACTAGTTCTCACTTTGCGCAGCTTCGTTCGTTGGTCTTTCACTCTCTTTTCTTTGTCCAATTCTGTCTTACCAAACAAGATGACTTCTTACCAACCCGCGAGGAGTTGTGAGGCTGAACCGGGTACGAAGAATGAATCTATATCTGATCGTGCACGGAAGTTGCTGGCTGCGGCCGCTCAACTGTTCGATCGCAATGCAGTGGTGCCGATTCGACAAAGGTAGAATGCCTGGTTGAAGGTCCAATACAAGTAGATAGCAGTGTCTTCGTTTTGGCTCCCTTCGCTCCACTAGCCTTGATTGGCGGATGGAAGTACCAAGGTGCCCCTGGTGGTATCGTATATAAGATCACGGCTGAATTTAGCAGTGATCTTTCCTTCTTCAACAAGCTGGTGGTGATCTCACTTTCGAAAGAGAGTCTCGACGTGGCGGTGTACACGTAGCTCCATAGCGGAGCTAGTCACTGGCTAGAGGGTGGCCGGTCTCCCGGACCGGAGGCAGCCGAGAGTGTTATGTCAAAAGGACTGAAGGAGGAGCTAGCTTTCATTGAAGTAGGGGCGGAATCGAAGGGAAGAAATTCTGAGTTTATGCCACGACGGATCTATACGGAAGGGCAGTTTTGTTGATGCATTCCTCTTGAGAATGAAAAAGAAGAGAGATCTTCTTTGGAACAGAAAATTTGGTCACGTAGATCTTCTATTTCGCCTCCCTTCTTTGTTTTATACATCTTTCTTTTGCTATTGTGTCCGTATCTATCTAGTTTCGAGTTCTCTTTTTTTTATCTGATTGGTTAACAGTGTTTATGGGCACTTGTTCGGTTTCGGGTCGGATACTCACGTAAGCCCAAAGGCCGAACAATAAGGATGTAGGCCCTTCTAATCCTGGTTCGATGGAGGATTCCACTTTTCCTCTCTTTCCTCGATCGAACCACTGCGAGCTTTCTAATGAGGAAGCGGTAGAGCAAGCCCACCTCCCGACCTAAATAGGAGACGGAAGGAAATGAATAGACAGATCGATCTCTTTCTCTCCTCCTATAACAAAATAGCTGTAAAATCCAGCTACCTAATGACAGAGTAGAGAAGCTCCAGCTATTTACTGCTTCTCACGAAGAATAGCATTGATAGAAAAATATAGTTTCGCGGCAATGCAAAGTGTGGCCGCTGATCGAGGTCCGAAAGAAAGAAATTAATTACTAAATAAAGAAAGTATTAGGGGAATAAAGAATTACTTAAAAGAAGTTGAAAGTTGAGAAGAGGAAGTTGGATTTCTCGTCATAGGGAAGAGGCATATCCCTTTAGCCTGTTCCGAACCTTCTAGGTGCATAGACCGTTCCATAGACCATTGTTGGAGAACCCGTTACGGTCGTCGTTCAATTTTAAAACCCTTCGTTTCAGAACCGTACGTGAGATTTGCATCTCATACAGCTCCACCCTATTGTGCATAAGGAAAATCAAAAATCTAATCTAAAATAAAAAAGATTAACATATTCTCATTATGAATGGCCGGGGCTAGTGTTTTTACAAGAAATCTCTAGCCAACCTTCCTGCAAGAGATCTTTTCTTAACACCAGCCTATTGGGACTAGTAGAGTCGTATTAACTCATAATACGAAGAGAACTCTCTAGGCGTAACCTTCCGCTGAATACTAGAATCCACAATGGAAACATAGCATATGAGGTTGCATTAATCGAGGATACGCGACGAAGGAATTGATCTATTTCCAAGTTTCACCCCGCGATTTTATGCTTTGAAAATGCTCTTGTATTGCTCGGAAGCTCTCTCTTTCTATATATATATATAGTAGGGTGAATTGCCTTCCAATAGGGTAGTCTTAGATAGTTCTTTTTGTTGTGAAAGAAAGGACTTTGCTTTCATTCTTGATAGCTAGACTAGATCAAAGAGTACTGCTTGCTTAGCTCAATCCCTTATAGTGTTCATACCAGAGCATGGAAAGGAAAGCAATTCTAACTAAACGAAGGAATTAGCCTAGACCTCGGACTAAGAATCCTTAAAGCCGTAGAATGAAGAAAATAACATTAACCGAATATACCTTGCTATAGGCACGGCAGAGCCACTAACTCGGAGTTGCTACTAGACGGAAGAGCGCTTCGCTACTCCTTTAGAGGATCTATACGCCTATAAGTAGACTAGGGGGAACTCACTACTCCGGCTAAGGGAAGAGAAAACGTAGTCACACGAGTAAACGAGTTGTATACGAAAGAAAGGAATTTTTTGACTCTTCATTACTGCGAAAGAAGCCGCGAGGTTGGTTGTTCTAGTTAAGAGGAGTCCCTCCTTGCTATCTCTTTTTAACCTTTATAGAGTCACCAGCTAATCATAAAGCCCCAGATGCGTAAGTAAGCTACCGTAGTTCCAAGTTCGTTGGATTGCCTTCCAAAGGTTCTTATGACCTTGCCTGGGAGTAGTGCGCTTAGCGTCGGTCCTTCTACAGCAAAGGTGGTAGAAAGTTATGAAATGTTAACCTTGCTTCAGGGATTTCGCGCCTTGTCGTCATAACCGAAATCATAATCGCTGGAATCAATGGACATTGCCTTATTAGCAAAAGAACTAGGCAAACACGAATCAAAGCTTGTGAACTGAACTCGATCACTCAAAGAGCTGTTAGGCCCTAGTAAAGCACTCAAGGAAGAAGAAGCCGGTTCATACGGAACGAAGGAGGTAAAGCAATTAGAAGTTGCAATAAAAACTACTAGAATTCACTACATGGACTCACTCGAGGAAAAGCTATCGCCAATTCCCAGTCCGAATAAAAAGGGGTAAAGTAATAAAGGAATCCTTCTATAGAATATGTTGCTACCTACCTTGTTGGATAGCTTTGATACCATTAATCCATTGTCTCGCTACGCTGATCAACTCGAGATATCTCCGTCTAAGGTGAATAGAAGAGAAGAGAAAAGCACAGTTCACCAGGTTCTTTGAAACGAGATACTTTATAGGGTCTGTCCTATATCCTTAGATTCTTTCATTTCAATAGTTACGATTTCTGTCTTTTATGGCATCAATACAGCCAATGAGGAAAGACAGTCGTAAAAAGGTTTAAAATGCTGCGTAAGAACCAAGGTGCGATTTACCTATTTATAGTGAGAAGAAAGGATTGAGACCAAATCGACTCGGAACTCTTGTTTAGCAGTGAACGAATCCGATCTGTGCTTTGAAGGAAACATAGCGGCTTTATGTATTTTATTTTCTATGACCCTATAAAGTAAAACAACGAAAAGCAGTAATTAGACTCTTCGCCTGGTTTTATGCTCAACGAAATCCACTTCAAAGGATAATGATTTTTACTGGCCATTGTTTTGTTTGGTCGGTGCTAGCTCCACTCCTAGGCCCCGCTCTCTCAGTCTGGGCAAGGGGCTTGACTTTCCGCTTGTCTTTCCTTAATGCTCGCTTTGCGCCGCTCGGTGTGCTCGAGCTCGATGGTTCTGCTTTATGCTCGGCTAAGGGGATCTACATTCGACCATCAAACTCATGATAACAAGCCTTAGAAATGATCTAGCGTCGAAAGACTGATTACGGAGTTCGGGAATTGACCACTCCCTTCTATGCCTCCCCGCCTGTCCTGTTCAGACAAGCAAGAGAACTGATTGTGGGTAGAGAGGTGTGAGTTCCTGTTGACGAAGCTACCTACGTCATACATCAAGAACGAGGGTCGATGTAATTGACTATGTCACTCGCTTTCGGGCGAGGCCTTTCACGTCACGTAAGGATCTAGAGGCAAGCCTAGACCTAACCAGGTTAGTGACTTCGTACGAGTAACTACGTACCTTCTTACTGAGAAACCAACGTTTAACGACACACATGAGGTACAGAAGGCGCATTCTAAGGCGCTATAGAGCTCTTAAGTTAAGAAAGAAGAAAGATCAATATAGTGCTTACTATAAGTATAAGCTAAGCACTGTTACATAATCAACTGCTTGGTAGTCGATAGAGAAGAACTTGGAAAATACCTTCGCTCCAACACTTGTTACAGCATAAGGAGACCGGAACTGGCCCTAGCTTATCCTGTCCTATCTCATCTCTCTAATCATGGAAAAATCTTACCTATCTCTAATCTCTTTTGTCAATCCACTTTCCGGATCGAAAGAACTTTTCAAGAAATTAGCTTACTTACTTTCCTTAGGAAGCAGATGCGAGTTCTGCTTTTTCCTTTCTCTTTATTTTCTCGTTGAGAAAGAGAAGAGGTTTTGTGGCCAATCCACTGCTTCTATCTTTGCTGTTAAATTATCATCTCCTCACTAAACATACGAGAACTAAAGCTATGGGGATGCTAAACTGTAACATGAAAAGGAATCCTACACTCGTGATACACGCCAATTGAAGTAATGAGAGGCGAAGTAAAGCAATTCCAGGGGTTTTTTTACCAATGCAACTACATTGGCTTAGGACTTTTCTCTTCAATTGCATAGCTTGGAACTTTTACGGGATCGAAGGCTGTATTTAACCTTCCCACCTGCAACTACGAAATAGGCTAGCTGACCTAGCAGGTGAAAGACGAGTTCTCTGCTCACAGTCAACGCAACGGTCCAGTCCTAAAACTACCGCTTTGCAGCTGAATCTATGTCACTGGATGTAAAGCAACCTTACTAAAGATAAGATAGAAAAGTAATTAATGGGTCATTAGGATTATAATAAATATCTTGTGAAGTGGGGAGTCAAAAGACTGCAAGGACGAGGGGAGGGCAGCAGACCTATTACTAGCTTGGGTTTAGTAAGACAGAAGAGGAGTTCCGCTTGATCGGCGAGTAGCTCCTTCTCGGAAAAAGGGTCTTACCGCCGAGGTGAGGCCTAGTAGTTCTTGTGAGACTAATTGCTTAATAAGGTGGGGGAGGTGAATTCTTCTAGTTGAAGAGTTTTATCTGTTCCATTTAGAATTCCATCTCTTGTTTGGTTTCTGTACCGGTTTCAGTTCCTTTGTTCAAATCAATATCTACTATGTCGCTTCTCTTCCCGGTTGTCCTGTCCTCTTCAATCCGTTCTTCTTCTTCTGAGTAAAGGGTGAAGAATTGCCATTTTATGAGCTTGTAAGGCCTGTTTAAGTCCCCAAAGAAAGGGGAAAAGGGCTATAAGTAGGCCGTTTGCTATTGCTACAAGAGCTGCTCGCCTTTATACGGCTTGGTTTCGCTATCGCTCCTATGTAGTGGTCGAGCTAAAAGTAGTATTCTGCCATACCGAATGCCTATTATATAGTGCTAGAAGCTTCGCCGAAGCAAGCAAGATGAGGTCGCTCTGCTTCGTAGACAAGGCTCGTTCCGTACTTTACTTACGAGCTCGTGTAGTACTCGCCCTATCTCTAAAGGGGCTTATGCACTCCACTCGCTGTCTACTAAAGGAGCGTGAGAGCTCGTACCTTCAATTTAGTGGCTTTCCACCCTTTCCCTCACTCTACTCTTTCATTTCCGCTTAAGCTTGTTCGGTTTGTGGGATTAGTTGATTTTCTACCCGAGAACCATAATCTTTCCTATCAACACTTCTACGACGATAGGCATAAAGGCATGATTAGTTCCACAAATCTCACTGCACTGACCATAGTAAACTCCTTCCCGTTGTACCAAAATAGAGGTCGATTTAAACGACCAGGTACAAAGATCACATTTGACACCTAAGGAAGGTACAGCCCAACTATGAAGTACATCAGCAGATGTTACAATAATACGTAAATGAGTTTTGGCTGGTACAACCACTCTATTGTCAACTTCTAATAAACGTGATTGACCCACTCGGATCATCTTCGGAATCATATAACTGTCAAAAGTGAGTGACTGTTCATCGGAACTGTTATAGTCCGAATACTCATAAGGTTGGGTCGACGCCCGCCTCCCCAAACTTGACTTGCAAGTTTCCTCGCAAAAGCTCTCCACGCCTACTCTTAGAAAGAACACTATTTTTCTTTAGTTCTCCCGGCCGTAAAACCCTTTATGAGTAAGGGTAATCAAATCAAAGGTGGGGAAAGTTTATTGGCAACAGGAACCCTTTCTCACCCAGCCCTACCTAGACTATGTATTTGAGGGGAGGCTGGAACCGAAAAGCCCTGGTTTGGTTCCACACATATCGACAGGCGAAGGTATGGAACGACCAGTTCACCACGGAAAGCGAATTCCCACGTTCCAGCGTGCATTATGCCAACAGTCTCACCCCAACTCTAGTTGAGAAGTGGAGTCACCCTTCTTTTCATTTTTTTATGTCTCCGTTTGATCCCGTTTCCATTCTCCCTTTCTCTAATAATAAGGTAAGCTTCATAGCCCCAACCTAGTAAAGGCTCATCTTTTTTTCAGAAAAAGAATAGAATAAAGAAAGGGATAGTCTATATCCTGTATCGATCATAGGATCACTCTATGAATAGGTATAGGTAAATTCTCTGTGACCTCTCACCGTTCACGACATCCCTTCCTTCTCGCTGTCCTCGGTGGAGGAGTAGAAGCGCTGGTCCCCTTCGGTCAAGTTGCTTGTGCCTGCTGTTACCTACCGTAGGACCTCCGTCCCCGAAGCGAAGAAAGAGGAGCAGGAACAACAGGTGTCCTCTCCGGCCCAGAGTTCCGCAACTACTACCGTGGTTGTTGCCAACGGGATCCCCATTCCGAAAGGTTACTAGGCTGGCCGTTAGGTCCAAAGTTGTATGCCACTGCTATGGTGCCGATAGATTCACTACTTCAGCGCCGTTATCGGACATTGCAGGCTGAGCATCTATTTCTCGTATATCGTTCCACACCGAGAAGAGGGATGTGTACCTCCAAAGAACAACCATAATGGAACCATAGGCTCCTATGCTGGGAGCATTTCGGGGTATAAGTCTAACCACCTCAACTCCCGTTTCGGCATGCTATAGTTATTAAAGTCTCTCGACGGCGGGAATGGGAGATTACCAAGTAAGCCGATACTTCGCGAACCCTATTCAACTTTAAGGCATTTCGTTGCACTTAAATCACCCTCGTGAAGGGCGCACTCCGATACCATTGATGTCCAATAGCTTTGATAGTAATGGCCGGATCTACTACTACCTCGTCCATTGAATATAATAGAGCAAATGATGGTATAGCAATGAACATCAGGATGATACTAGGAAATATAGTCCAAAGAATCTCGATAGTAGTTCCATGAACAATCCTTTGCGGGATTGGATTTTTTTATAGTGGAAATGCCATAAAGTGCGAACCAAGATCCATGATACGAAAACCAAAATCTGAATGAGAAAGAAAAGATATCGTGATGTAAGTCTATTATTCCTTGCATCATAGGTGTTGCTGCGTCTTGAGATCCTAATTGCCATGGTTCCGCTGCATCACAAGGAGCAATTGTGAGGAATAGCCATTCTAGAACAATCATTTGCTTTGTTTCATTCTTTGATGCTCCGCTCCCCAAAAAAGAGAGACTTAGAACTAAACGAAAGCTTTTCTTGGTTGTTGACCAAAGAAAGAAATGGGAGTTTTGGGCCTTATTCGATTCTTCTATTACGATATTTCTAGTTTCATGAAAAGAGCTCTCTTTCTATCAACGCAGGCTCATTTTGACTGCAGTTGAATGGGTTTAGCTTAGAATTGAATCTTGCCAAAACTCGTTTTACGCTTAACCAAATGTCAAACTTCCTGGATTCTCGCGACTAAGATGTCTTGCGCCTCCTGTAAACTACGCTCTTTGCACCAGCTTCCTTCAACCACTTATGCCACTTAGTGTGAGATTCCCACATTACTAGATATCTCGAACTGTTTGGGTATAGGAGCTTGGCCAGTAATCTCTTTTATGCTGACCAATATCGGCGAATGATCGACGCCACACGAGGCAGGTTGGTAACCGTTGTTTTCATAAAACTAGCTCCCACTCCTCATTGACTAAAGCTCTGTCCAACCTAACATGACAACGACCCCTTGACCACGTGAATTTTGAACCTGTGAAACCTAGATCGACATTTCGGAATTTTGAATCCATTCTCGAACCACCATCTACACCCTTTGGATTTTCTCGCCCCCAACCTTGTCACCTTCATCTGTAATGGCATTAAAATCACCAAAAACAAGCCAAGGTTCCTGTACATCAACAGATATTTCATCTAGCATCCTCCATAAGCGACGTCTAATTTGTGGTTGTGGGCTGCCATACACCGCCGTTACCAAAGCCTCGCTTATTGTTAGGGAAACATAACTTAAAGGAAATAAACGCCAGTCATTAGAGATAATATTAACAGAGACCAAATCATTCCATAAGAGCCATATGCCACCTGAAAACCCAACTGCTTCAATTCTATGCGAGTTCTTCAAACCAATTTTTTAATTGTGTCGTCTGCATTAACACCACTAACTTTAGGTTCAATTAAGACAATTAAGCATAATTTAAACCTATCAATAAGTGATTTAACAGCAGCGATTGTTTTAGGATTAGCTCCGTTCGTCTGTTGGTCCTCTTCCATCCGAGATTCGGACAATTCAGGATGACGCATCGTCGAAATGTCCTTTATCTCACTGGAGTTGACCTGATTTTGAGAGGCGTCTTAAGATGGAAAGCTTTTGTTAAATCCGGTGGGACCGGCCTCCTTACCAGTGTGTTTCCAGATATTCTCCCGACACTGGTCCTCCTCCATTTCACCGGTCATCGGCGGTTTGTTCGGGTGCGAGATGTGGACCACTGTGTGACTGCCCTCTACACTTGTTTTAGACACTGATTTGACAGCCCACTTGGAATATTTGCATTATCCTTGCTGATAAGATCCTGAGAAGAGCTTAGGTTGGTTTCGTTTGTTGCCTTACTGGGCTCGGGAGACTTCATGTTGTTGGGCTAATGCCTGTTCTATCTCCTGGGCCTTTGTGAGGGCCGCAGCTTTGCCCTTGTTGGTTGACTTTTTTGGAACCCACGTAGACGTATCCCTAATCTCATTTTTCCTCTTACCACCAACCGACCCTTTTTTAGAGTCCAAACCCTTAGTAGTAACAGCTCCCACAACGAAATTCTTGGGCCCCGTCGCGATCCTGTGCTCCTCAAACTCATTGGGGCCCGCTTTTTCAGACCTACCCGCATCTTCACTAGAATCAACTAGGGGCGAGAAAGAGTTGTTGAAGAAGGAAACCGCTTTAGCTCCTGACAATGTTCTCCTGCGATCAGTTACCGTTGTATTGTTTCTTGGTGGACCCCTCTTCTAGGGCAGGGCTGGGCAGGAACAAGAGGAGATGTCCTTCCCCGATAGAAATAGGCTCTTGCAGAGTCCTTATTCTAGGGGAAGGGGGTTCCGGAGAAGAGGAAGAGCGGCGCTTTTTGAGCGCTCGCTTTTTTTTTTGTAACCGGAAGTCCGGTACTTAATAACGAATTATAGCTTCTCTGAAGACTATAATTCTTCTCTCCGGAAACGAATTAAATGCTTCTACGAAGACATTAATTCTATTAGCTGCAAGGAAGGCTAGCTCTACGCTTCGTTCCTTGCGTCACTCCTCTTGAGCGTCGCTCCCCTATATTCTCTCTCTCTCTCTCCCGCCCTACCTTTTTGGTAGTCGGGCGGGAGAGTGGTTACCTCGTTCGGGCTACTGTCCAGTAGGCAGCCCTCTCTCCAATCCGTTACTTATAGGCTTTTCCTAGGTGTTGTTACAAAGAGCGTAGCGACAAAAGGAAGAGTTTCTAGGTTAGTCTGCTTAGCTGCAGTTCGGTTTAGACCTAGCTGCAGATCGCTTGTCTAAACCGAACTGCAGCTAAGCAGACTAACCTAGAAACTCTTCCTTTTGTCGCTACGCTCTTTTGTAACAACACCTAGGAAAAGCCTATAAGTAACGGATTGGAGAGAGGGCTGCCTACGGACAGGTAGCCCGAACGAGGTAACCACTCTCTCCCGCCCGGACTACCAAAAAGGTAGGGCGGGAGAGAGAGTTGGAGAATATAGGGGAGCGACGCTCAAGAGGAGTGACGCAAGGAACGAAGCGTAGAGCTAGCCTTCCTTGCAGCTAATAGAATTAATGTCTTCGTAGAAGCATTTAATTCGTTTCCGGAGAGAAGAATTATAGTCTTCAGAGAAGCTATAATTCGTTCGCACCTTTCTCTAACAGCTGAAATAGCAGCCTCCACTTCACTCTCTTGAAAGCTAGCTGCAGGGGCTAACAATAGCTGAAAGCATGAGTGAACAGTCGATTCAACAAGAGACAGAGTTCTTTCATCCTTGACGAATTATAGCTTCTCTGAAGACTATAATTCTTCTCTCCGGAAACGAATTAAATGCTTCTACGAAGACATTAATTCTATTAGCTGCAAGGAAGGCTAGCTCTACGCTTCGTTCCTTGCGTCACTCCTCTTGAGCGTCGCTCCCCTATATTCTCTCTCTCTCTCTCCCGCCCTACCTTTTTGGTAGTCCGGGAAACATTGACGGTTTAAAAAGATTAACTGGCGCATGAGCTACGTTTCACGGATTAATGTGACAACAATTTAAAGATTTAATTAAAGATTAATAGACTACTTTTTCTGTCAATAGTAGTATGATGTAAGCTATTATTATGATTTTGTGACGTAATATTCCATTTTTTATAGGCCGTATTAGATTTGCAGAGAATATAAAACGTATTTAGTAGTAGTTCCTTTAAATTTAATTAGTTTATACTACTCTTAAATAAATGTGTTATCAAAACTATATGAAGTAGAATATGTATGTCATACCACCTCCTCCTAATTCTATTACGCCTTATAATTAGCACTCCCGGATAAATTTCTTTACTTTCCCTTGATAATTGTAAGACCGTAGATTGTGTCACCTCACTCAAAGTGTTATTACGGCCCAGGAGTTTCCATAAATTGGCCTAATGGGCTGGCCTCCTTACTTCCGCTCCTAATCGTTGACGTTCATCATATTTAACCCACCCATTGTATCATGTTTAATAAAGGAAAAACTCAGAGTAAATTTATTCAACTCAACTCCATGAACATTTCTTCATTATACTCATATGAACAATCAGATGTACAGAAGATTCTGACTATATTTTGACTCCACTCTGACTAGCTAGAATAGGTTGTAAATCTTTATAATTATTGCAAGATTCTGGTTATCACACTAAATCACGGTGCTTAGTGCTTTACCCTTTTGCACAGGCTTCATAAATGTTGGGCTAAACTTGGACCTTGCTAAATGGACTCGCTGGAGCATTTAAATGGACCTTGTTAGCCCGTTTGAGGATAGCATTTGAGGTGGATTAATCCAATCAATGATACTATCTAGTTGTAATCCGCACGGATTATGTTAAATGCTATTATAGCATTTTTTAAGATTAAATTTCTTACGTAACTGGAATATTATATGAGTTACAAAATGTTATTAACTCATTCAAATTGCAATCATGTTTATCTTCATATTTGTTGTTTGTTTGGCCGCATTTTATAGAATGAAAGAAGTTAATTGCATAGGTAGTAATATTATCTTTTTTTGCACGGATTATATTACATGCGAGGGTAAAATTTTAAGATAAATTTTAAAAGTGATTGCATAATTTACAATCACTTTCAAAGTTATATATTTCAAGACTAAGAATTTACTTTTTCGAGTTAGGGTCTATTTATTTTTAAAATTTAATAAAAAATGGTCAATTTCTTCAAAAGTACAGCATTGATACAAATAATACAAAAATAATATGAAATTATCCACAATGAAAGTATATTTGTTTGGTATATGCATTAACACAAAATATATGTTTTATAAAAAATAATTAAATTGTAGAACATGAAAGTATCATAAAGGATCTAATCCCATTCAGTTGAGTGTTTTTTTTTTCCTTTTTTAGGTGCCTCTACTTTGACTAGAATAGTAGAATAGTTTGTAAATCTTTAAAATTAACTCTAAATTAGAAATTTGATTAGCTTGCTAACCACAATGCTCATGGTTTACTCCCTCTCGTCTTTATTACAAGGTATTTTGAATTGTCATAAGTTTTATCTCGTGTGTATTTTTAATTGAAAAAAAAAACCTTCAAAATATTTTTTAATAATTAGAAGAACACTGCGAATGTGACGCGACTGCCAGCAACGATTCAGATCCACTTGCTGCTGCAGAGCCGGTCACAACAAGACGGATCCACGGCGACGTCGCCAGATCCGTTGAGATTTGCAGATCTTTTCTGATCTGAAATCCAGCCATCGCCACTATCTTTTGCTCTTTTCAGACAGCCACCGAGGTCCGGCGCTAGAAGTGGCCATCTGTCAAAAACTCCAGATCAACCGGCCAGAGAAGCTCCAATCTGATGCCACCCAAATACCGAGTGACTCGCCATCTTAATCCTTCACGAACAACGCAGATCGTGCTTTTCATCTCTGGCCACAAAATCCGATTCTCCCACAGCCGGTTATGGATCCATCGGCTTTAAAAATCGGTTCGCTGGTTCTCTGGTTCAAAAAAACGGTTTCCAATCTCTGGTCTACAAATAAACTGTATCGAGTTATGGTTTAGTTAGGTGACAACTTGGATGCAGCAATTCTTTGTGTATCACTCAGTGTTCGGAGTTCTCAAATATGCCCATCAAATGCGTCAGTCCGTGAACGGTGATCTATAAGATGCGAATCACACAGACAGAAAATGATTACTGTCCTCTATTGTGATTATAATGTACTAGTCTATTCATGATATAGTTTATTAATATTCAAATCACCGTCATTAATTGACGGTTTCTCTTTGTACGGGATAAGTCTTACGCATTGCGCTCGGAAATATTTTATTTTATCAATAAATTTTCCAAGTACTAAAAAAAAACACTGTGAATGTAAAAATATATTTCTAAAATTTTTTTTTAAATCGTAAAATATATTATGTGAAACTTAGGACACATCAATGTCTTATAATAAAGACCGGAGAGACTTCGGTACCTTGGACGCTGCCAAATGGTTTCATTCCAACGTTTAGATCGGACCTTTATAGCCGAGGAAAGAAATTTGGGCTAATCATTCTTAGTCATTTGGGGC